ATATATATATATATATGTTGCGAAGAGCATATTTATTTGTGAATGTTGTATCCTATGCTTAAGTACATAGATATGTGTAATATGAATGTCATTATCTAGTTGATTTTAAAAAATAATTAATTAAATCATTTGGTTGAGCATTAGAAATACGATTTACTATATACAAAAAGTGTGAATGCAATATTCAAATGCTCTTCCACAGATCTTTTTATACACGACTTTTATATTGTGAAGATGACAAAAAGAATTTTTACCAAGCCTGTGCTCTTACATCTGTGTATTTGTATCCTGTATGAGTAGAATTGTACATGATAATATGATATTACGATAATACATACACGATATGTATTATCTATGACCAAGAAATTTCTGGTATTATATACTTCGTTGAGTTCAGATGTGTTATTAACGATAGTAAACTCTATTCTGAATTTTATGTACAACAAACTAATCTAATCTGTAAAAACATAGAGATTCCTCGATACTCTATAAATCTTTAACGAAATTCTTACATTTACAAAGAGCAATCGATTACATTTTATTTTATTGTAAAGAATCATATTTAACTGAGCTAATAAAAATTATGTACCTTATATACTATGAATATCGAGGAATTATCAATGAAATATTACGAACATGTTGAAAAAACTGCTATGAAACTTTTACTGATGTACAACTTTTACAAGAAATAAACAACCAATTTCATATATTCCATAGTTTTTTCTTTATTTATATAAAAAAATGGAATATTGGGACAATAAATTGCAAAAAAATAAATACATTGTTCCATAAATATATTTCCGCAAATTTTTTTCAATGAACTAACATCAAATCATGGTATATAAAAAGCAAATTTATATAATATAATACAATCATACAATTAATATTCTTACAGCTATCTTATACGTGAAATATCTTGTATAGGCGATACAATAGTCGCATATATATCTTAGGAAACTACTGTTTTAAAATAATGCATATATTTTAATAAAATGTATGTCTTTTTTGAAATAATGTTCATAAAATTAGGAACAATAATTTACTGCTGTATACATAATATTTGATATACATACATATTTTTAGCTGTACAATAAAAAAGAATAATTTTTCTCATGATTAACTAAACATTTATACTATACAAATCAATTATAAAATTCTATAAAATATAACAAAGATAAAATATTAGCAATATATTACAACATTAAAATTTACACACATTAATAAATCATTATTAAATTTAATTATTACTTCAATGATATGTTATCATAAAATTAAAAATTAAAAAAAATGCACTTATTTAATTTATAGAGTATTAAAAACAACTTTGGTTTATTCTTTGGATTTTGATAGATTAATTCTTAATATAAATTAATATGATTTCCTTGTAATGAAATTTAGTATCAAGATCTTAAATTTAATCACAGTAAAAATCACGTTCATTAATTTTATAAATCCCATTTAAATTTACAATATTACTTCTTAAATGGTGTAAATAAAATTTTTTATTCCAAACTTATTAATTTATCAAGAACGTGCAATATCCAAAAATATAGTTAAAAGTAACTAGATAATGTACATATATTTCAGTCCTTATTGTTGTCAGGCAGCGTTATATTATTACCTGTTCTGCACTTTATATTGTATTATAAGATTTATATTATAATTTATCATTGATACTTTCACGTATGACATATTATTACTTTTTATTTTTTGCATGATACTTTATATTCTCGAAATAATATAATTATATAAATAAAAAAAACTAAATTCTAAAAATACGAGATCAAAATACTGATATTTTAAGTTATTACATTATTGCATTATAAGAATTGTTTAATAATGAATATTCGAAAAATAACAAAATGTTTGCAAAATAATATTTAAAAATTATTTAAAAAGATATACTATCATAATATTAATATAAAGTTAAAATATACTGTTTGTTATTTACTTAATTGAAAAATCTGATATTTCATCTTTAACTTGCTAAAAATAAGTACCTATATTTTCTCCTAAATATAATATTTAATATTTTTCGCAATCAAAATGCGTCTTTTATATTTTGAAACTGTCTTACCGCCAAATCGACTGGTAGATCAAATTTGTAGCTAGTAAGGCGATCGAGAGTATGAAACGCATCTTGGAAACCTATTTGTAATAATAATATAAAGATATTCAAAGATAGATCAAAATGTATCCAATAAAAATAGTTATTTGTACATTAATGTCTTAATTACCTGTTTTTATAACATAACTCCATGATGTATAATGATTTTCAAGAAGATATTGACATTGCAAGATAAGTTTTAACCAAATAACAAGTTTATTAGTACTATAATAAAAAAGATATAAATCTTAAATTTTTATTCTCATAAAACGATTTTTAACTAATTTTCTTGTAAAATGTTTACTCACTTAAGAGATGCACATATAAATGCTTTAAAATGAGAATCATAACTCCTTTTGTATGGACTGTGTGATGCAATAATATTTCCAATTGTTGTTAATAAACTCTAAAAGTTATAATTTTCTTATAAAATAAATTCTATTTAAATTTAATTTGAAAAAAATATTATTAACCATAGCTACCTGTTTAGAAGAAACAACTCTTCCACCTGCTAGATCGAGATTAAAACTTTGAGATAATTTCTGTGCTGGACTAGAATTGTAATGATGGCCATTTTTAATTTCATAATACTTCAATATTAGTTCCCATGCATGCATTAAATTAGAAGTAGAAGAATTTCTTTGAGGAAAACATCCAACAAATGGTACTACACTATTAGAACGCGCATCAGACATTAAACCGTGTTGTATTAAATCACGTATGGAAGTTGCTAAATGCTTCCTTACAGCAGATGTTACTCGGGCATTGCAATGAGACATAGAATCTGAATCCGAAGCATAATCGTCTTCATTAGCAATATCGTCATCTTCTGGATGACGCTCAACTTCGGCAATAGTCTCTATAACATGTTCAACTGCGATATCTAATCTTGTTCTTAAGTCACGCCAATTATGTATAGAATTTTTCTTAAAGTTTCTTCGAACTCGTTCACTACCACAACCTAATTGAGATACTAGGAACATATGTAACAGAGCTACAACTTTCTTAACAGTGTTCAGAGTTTTTGTTCTATTTTCTTCATCTGTTTTTCTGTTAAATGATTTTTTAGCATAGGAAGTAGAACCAGCAGAATTTGTATGTACTGGGCATGCACAGGTACATGCTAAAGTTTCTGTACTAACTTCTCCTTGAAGATAATTTATAAAACGTTCTAAATCTGCAATTTGTGTTTTTAATTGTGATACTAACTGTTCTTTCATTTTCAAAGGACTAACAATCTGTAAGTGATTATAAATTAATTATTTTTTTTTTTAATTCAATAATCACTATTTTTTTGATAATTTATTCTATTAGACAAAACAATTCACCTGGCTTATAGCATAATCTACTTGCCATCTTAAATCATCAACTGGTAATTTACAAAGATCATCAACATTGAAATTTAACTTTTCTTTTAAATGATCTGGGGAAAATAATAAGATCAGAATAGATTTTAATTAAGTATTTATCTAAAAAACTTACTTATTATGATATTCTGTCTCTCTAATATCATGCTTTGTGGTAAATCTGCATCACCAGTTTCATAGGCATATTTTTCTAGATCTTCTAATTGAGATTTTAATTGACATATTAATTCTTTTTGTTTTGTTCTTTGTAATGCCATTTTAGATTCAATATCAATATCATTTATTACTCCAGATATCTATTAAGTTATATAAAATATTGAATTATCTTTTTAATACAACAAACAACAATTTAAATTAATAAAAGATAATATATAACATAGATAAATATAGCTAGTTTTTATGTGCCTTACACTTTGTTTGCAAGACATTGGAGAAGTTGGGGTAATTGATCTACTATCAAGTGATAAATTATTTGGAACATCTGGTATTCCTCTAAAAGCAAATTCTTCTAATTCTTTGAGCAATGTTTCTTTTTCATTTGCTGGTGCATCTACAATTTGTCTTAAACGAAATTGAACCTAAGATAACCAGATTTTAAACATTAAAACATTGTATTTTGTAACAAATACAAGTTATAATTTCATATTTATTTAATACCTGGGCAAAATGAGTAGTCAGTGCTATAAGAGATGAATTAAGCATTTCTTGTTCTTCCTCAAGCACTTTTAGCCTTTCCATATCATATGGTAAACTATTAGAATATATAAAAAATATTTGTAAAATTAAATTTTTCCCTTGGATATACAATTAACAGTAATAAATATTGCATCTGTTATGTTATTTATGAAGTACTTACTTTTCCATATTATCGACATATTTATATTCATCGGCAAAATCATTATCACCATCATTTGCACCAACGGGTGCCCATCTCTCGCCTGATGGTCTATCACTTTCATCCGAGTTTTCGATATCCTCATTTTCACTACCTTTATACTCGCCAGAACTCATTTTCCTATTGTTTACGATCTTGATTTCTTTCGAAAATTCTACCTTGCATTCATGAATCTTAGTTAATCTCAGTTATAATCGATATAACAAATGTTTCAATGTATGACAATTCTTTTTTCTATTTCTACATATTACATAAATTTAATTTTTATTATAACACATTACAATGTCTTGTCTTCTATTCTCATCACGCTTAATCCATTAATTAACTTCTGCGCACGTGTACGAATGAAAACGTCACTTGTCGTTGTCGATTTTGCGCCAGCTAAGGCGCATTCTCATATCAAACAACCACAAATATTGTAGATTTAAGATTCGTTCACTTTTTAAGATAAAATTTGTATTATAATTGATTCATACTACTATATAGATAAAAATATTCAATAACGATCTGCTATATTGAACATGCATTTTTATTTCTAATGACGTTTATAGTAATAAATTTTGCAAAATCTTTGTAATATATATTACATGTTGCATAAAAATCTACAAACAATTGTTTAAATAAAATATTGAGGCGTTATGAACAAACCATTAATATTATCGAAGATTTTTCGATAAATAGTAATCTCGTTGTATGCCTAGTCGAATTTCACAAATGTGTCAAATTGTTTTATCTTTGAGAGAACATTCTTTATTGTTTTATTGGATCATAATCAGTTACTACTCTATTGATTGTATAAAAAAATAGAATATGCAGCAAATAACAGTGAGACGTATTTATAAACAGAATTTTTGAAGAGAAATATCGAATAACCTACATCTCATGACATAACCAGTGTTGATCAACGCATCATTACGTTTTGTACATTATTCTCATTTCTACTTGAGAAAAAGAACTTATTAACAAGTGCATCGCGTATCATAGTATTCGCGATGATGTGGCAAGAAATAACTTTGACAAAGCCGGCACGTAAAAAACCGAATATTGACACATTGATAGCCGAATGATTTTTAAAAATTTCATAGAATAATTTTTAGCGAATCCAGTTATTTTATTCAAGAATCTATCTTTTATTATAAATATATCGATGATAAAGAATCATCATTCTTGAGGTATTATAGGTAATAAAAAGAATTTTTCGAATTTTATAAAAAGAATACTTTATAAATTTTTTTAATTCTAATTATTATTAAAAAAATATATCATGATTTCTTTTTATAAAAAGTACATATTTTTCAAAAAAATTTGTTTGTAGTTATACATGAAATGGGTAGTGCTTGGTGGCAGTGTGCTGCATGTTTGAGAACACAAGAAGAAGATATCTGTGAATTGCACTTAAATAATTGTAATCTTTATGATGTACCACCTGATGTGTTCATTTATGAGAGAACATTGGAAAAACTCTATCTTGATGCCAATAGGGTAAAAATAAATATTAGTGATTGTTTTTTATATATCTATTTTTTTATCTATTCCTATAATTCAAAGATATAATTTTCATATTTTATTACAGATAAAGGATCTTCCAAGACCATTATTTCAGTGCCATGAATTACGAGTACTTTCCCTCAGTGATAATGAAGTCACAACGTTACCACCCGCCATAGCATCATTAATTAACTTGGAATATTTAGACCTCAGTAAAAATAGTATGAATCTAAAAGTTTTTTATCTAAAAGTTTTATATAGTTCTTTTTATAAATAATTTATCACAATTTTTGTATTTACTTTTTTAGGTATTAAAGAACTACCAGACAGTATAAAAGAATGTAAAAATCTTCGTTCTATAGATATCAGTGTTAATCCATTTGAACGTTTCCCAGATGCTATTACACATATTGTTGGATTAAGAGAATTGTATATAAATGATGCATACATAGAATATCTACCAGCAAATTTTGGAAGACTTTCAGCTTTGAAAACATTAGAACTTAGGGAAAATAATTTGATGACATTACCAAAGAGTATGAGTCGTTTAATAAATTTGCAAAGACTTGATATTGGTAATAATGATTTTACGGAATTGGTATGTTTACATTATATTTTTATATTATATTCTTTGATTATTATCTATTAATTTATATACATTGATTTCTTTTTTTTAGCCTGAAGTTGTTGGGGATCTTATCAATCTCACTGAATTGTGGATAGATGGTAATGATATCAGACGTATACCACTCAACATTAATCAGCTTTACCGTTTAAATCATTTTGATTGTACCATGAATGCAATTCATATTATTCCATCAGAAGTAGAAGGATGGAGAGATATTTCCATTATGCATCTGTCATCAAATGAAATCTATCAATTACCAGATTCTCTTTGTTATTTACGTACAATTGTGACTCTTAAAGTTGATGACAATCAATTGAATGCACTGCCAAATGACATTGGACAAATGTCAAACTTAGAGGAGCTTATAGTTACTAAGAACTTCCTCGAATATTTGCCATCATCAATAGGACTTTTGCGAAAATTACATTGTTTAAATGTAGACAATAATTATTTGAGATGCCTTCCACCAGAAATTGGAAGTTGTACGGCGTTATCATTGTTGTCATTGAGATCAAACAATTTAACTCGAGTTCCACCTGAATTGGGACATTTATCTTCTTTAAAAGTACTCAATCTTGTAAACAATTGCATTAAATTTTTGCCCGTTTCTATGTTAAACTTGAGCAATTTAAAAGCATTATGGCTGAGCGACAATCAAAGTCAACCATTAGTGCCATTGCAACAAGAATTTAATTGTGAAGAAGACATGATGGTGTTAAGTTGCTTTATGCTACCACAAAAACCACGGCAAGAACTTGAGCGTAAGTATTTCTATCTATTTGGTGATATATGGTGATATATTAGTGATATATGTACATAAATTTTATGCATTGTATAATATTATAATAAGTTTATATATAATAAAATATGATCCACTATTGCTGCTAGTGGATAATGAAGAAGAAGATGAAGAATGAAATGGTAAAGTATGTGCTAACAAATTTATTTACTAAAATATATTAATAATAATATTATTTAAAATTAATTAGAAATTTTTAATATAAATATATAATTATATATATATAATTATATATATATAATTATATATATATAATTATATATATATAATTATATATATATAATTATATATATATAATTATATATTTATATTAAAAATATATATAGAATTTCGTTTTTTTTTTTTTTTGTAGAAAAAACCCCAGCCGTAGGATTAATTTCGAGTTCAATTGTTGGTACTGGAAAAAGAATATGTTTTGCTGCTGAAGTAGAATCTGAGATCCCTAGACAACTTCACCGAGCACCAACTCCTTATCCTAAAGAGCTGCGCAATCTTGCTAGGCATGCCCGCAATTTACATCATCAATCAGCACATGATGAAAGAGTAAGAATCGCGATTTAAAATGCGATTATTTTTTTCTTAATTTTATATCACTTTTCTTCCCTTTTTTCTTTCTTTTTTTCTAATCTAACAGGGAAAAAAATGTTTATGAATTAAGAATAATATTGCAGAATATAACAATTTCAAAGCCAATTAAAATGTTTTTTTTATATTTTTTTATGTATATTTTTTTATAATTAACATCTAGAATACATCTAACATCTAGAATACAAGAAAATTGCTAATTGAAACTTACAGATGCATTTAGAACAGGAGACTATGATCAAAGAAGCTATTATTGCTACAACTACTTTGGACCTTACTTCAAAATCTGGGACCTGTTTTTCACAAAGTTTATTTAATAAGGTATTCATTAGAAAATTATGAAAAAGGCAATTTTATTAGATTGAAAAATAATTATTAATGATTTTGATAATAAAGTTAAACAAATGTTAGAATAGATTAAAATATAATTGAAAACAAATGAATTCAAGAAATACAAAAAAATATATATATTTATATTAAAAAATAAAGCAATATTAAATAGAATTTTATAGGGATAATCATAAAGTTTTTGCAAATAAGGAATAAAGAATCATGAAATAATTTTAAGTTTCTATTCTTTAGGGTTCACATTCATCATTATCACCAACCGAACATCATATATCAAAAGAGTGCAAAGCTAATACTCCTACGGATATTGGAACAGAACAATCTGTTTCAGAAGAATCTTCCGATGAAGCGAACAAGACGGTTCTTGCAAAAGAAAAAAGTCCAGATATCAGAGAAGCAAAATATATTCGTAATCCTACATCTGAATACATTTCCAAACCTCCAACAGTAGCAGATTATGTAAATTCTACTTGGAAACCGGATGAATATTCGAAAGCAAATACAGCAAAAATTATTGAATCAGAAAAGTTTATAGAACCTTATAAAAGTATGCCTATTATTATAAGCAACAAAAATACTGATCATGTTCAAATATCAAAAATAAATGAAGTACCACCTGTCCCACCACCATATCATATTGCTGCTGCATTTTCAAAAAAAGCAGCACTTTTTCAACAATTAAATCAATGTAAGTCATTTTCTTTTTTTGTTATTAAGATATGGATGGCAATATGGATTTTTTATTTTGTCATTACAGCAGCCCAATTGGATTTGTCTCCTCCACAAATTGATATTAACACATCAAATTTAAAAATATCACAGGAAACGCAAATACAAAGTTATGACGAAGAACAATATAATGATAAATTTTCAAATAATACAGATATAACTAATAAAACAAATAATGATAAAAAAATAAATTCTTTTAATAATACTGATCAAATACATATATTAACAGAATCAATCGATCCAGAACAATCCTTAGAAGGAGATAGATCATTAAAGCCAAGTAGAATTCCTATTTTAAAGATAAAACATTTAGAAAATACAAATTCTATTTCAAACAGCGATTTATCAAATAAAAACTGCACAAATTCTTCTGTTGAAGATTATGAAGCTTTAAAAATATTGAACGCATCATGTATACCTACATCTCCGATAACAGGAAAAAAATATCGAAGTCCGCTTTCTATGCAACACAAAGTTTCGGATCGATCAAAAAAAATAATAAATGGAACTTCAAATAATAATGCTTCCTGTGATAATTTATCTATGAATGCAACAAATTCAACTTTAGTTACAAATCCAAATATGGAAGGAACTTCAAAAACTTTATCTATTGAAACATCATTAAATATGAACAATTCTGTCAATATAAAAAATGAAGCTAATTCTGGTCGAAGTACTCCAATTTTATCAAATAATAAGTTTCCAAATGAAGTGACTACTTCTAACGTTGATAAATATAAAATTGTTGGACGGAATGAATCATTAAATCCAGAAAGAAAACCAAGATTTAAATGGATGTTCGGACCGCATAAAAACGCTAATGTTGTATGTTTCTTTTTCTCTTATCTTTTTCTTTTTTTTTTTTTTGTTTTATAATAATATTTACATAATACTTTTACAATTCACAATTTATAACTATTATTTGTACAGTTGCCTGTTCAAGTGAAAAAAAATCCTGGTCTTGGTTTTAGTATAGCAGGTGGAGTAGCAGGAGCCGAAACCGTAAATATTTCAAATTTAAATGGAATATAATGTTTTTTTTTTTTGTAAAATTTTATATTTTTTTAATTGTCATTTTTATTTATTTTTAGGGAATTATAGTGACTAAAGTAAATCCAGATGGTCCTGCACAAGGTACACTTCGACCAGGAGATAAAATTTTAGAAGTGGATGGCATTGACTTTACTAAATCTGATCATAACAATGCTGTGGCTGTTCTTCGAGCAACAGGAGCAGTTGTATCCATGATGATTAGCCGTCATCAATGACATCTAGTTAAAGAAAAATAATCTTTTTTCATATACTAGTAATCAGTTTATCACATCAAACTGAATACATTTCATGTAAGTTTTTTTTAGTGTATATATTTTTTAACTAACATTAGTGCATATCATACTTCATTGAAAAAACGAAAGTTCCATTTTATTAGTTCTAAACGCTTGTTTTCATGATAGTAAATCATACTTTCCGATATCATCGAATTGAATTATACGACTGAAACAGCGTTACCAAAGGTGGGAGTGGTGGCATTTATTGAGCAAATATTTCTAGCTTCCAATGGTTACGCCTTATGAACCGAGCTTTTTTTAAAAAAAAATAAATTCAAGAAAAATTCCGTTCATAGACTCTTAGATACCGTAGATTAGAAATACGCTCCCTTGCACAATTTATGATAAAAAGAAAAAAAAATTTAAAATGTGATGTACAATTAAAACTATTTTTAAGAAAAGTTTCTTCATGGGCCGATTCACAGCTCGCTCGTATTATTTGGGCACATAAGTAGATAAAATAGAAATTATTCAGCATAAAATTATAGAATGATAACTTTCTTCCTGAATTTCCAACTTCATAAAGATATATTTGTGTTGTTTTATGGTGTTGATTGTATTTGTGTCAACTTACTTGTTCTCTTTGCAGAGAGCTGACAATGTGCCAGAAACAAATACTATTTATTATTCATATACACTTAAAAAAAATACTATATAAAAAATGAACGTATATTATGCATATATATATATATATATATACAAATATTATCTTTGTCGATTAAATGAGATTCTTACAGAAATTTTTTTTAAGATATTATATGAAATATTTTGTATTTAAAAATGATTTTTCTACAAATTTATCCAACAAAGATTTTAAAAGCACAAAGAAATGACTAATTTGTTTATATTATTTAATTTTATTTTTATATTAAAAAATAGTATAGTTTAAATTTGAAAAATATCTGTAAGAATCTTATTAAGATAAAAAAAAGAGAGATATTCTTCTATGTACTCTAATTTTATTAGTAATATTTTTAATTTTTTTATTAATTTCGCTATTGTTTTAAATTTTCTTTTCATTTTTTTATTCTTATTTTAAAAAATATTTTTTAATAAGAAGATTATTCATTAATAATATATTATATTTTCAAACGATTTTATATATTTTTACTTGCCATTGTTTCGTGATAAGTTTATTTTTATTAAATATTAGCGATTCTCTTATAACAGAGTCAACTGTTAAGTGTTTGATAAAATAAGATCTTTATTATTATGGTTGTGAATTATTATATTTGATTCATTCTATGTAAAGAAACAAATGTATGTACCTTGTAGAAACTATGTTTTCACAACAGTTATTAATATGGCATAATAATGCCAAATAGTAAGATAAAATACTACTTTTCTATGTTAGTAAAGTTAATAAAAAAAAATGAAGATTAATCATGTAAATGGGTAGAGCTGTGAGATAAATGTTTAGAAAGATTGATGATAAATAACACAAATGAATACTGTTCAAGTCAAGATATGAGTTATAACCAATATATTGTTTGTATCCCAGAACTTTTATAACAAAATAACAATCGCACTTCACTTTACCTCGCATTTACAGAGTAATTACTACGCACATTCTCTTAATATATGTATTTCATTACATATTTTATAACAGTTTTAATTAATTTTGCTAGTTATATAAGGATTTAGAAGAAATGATTTATGCATTTTTGAAAGTATGTTTAAATAATATTTATTTTTTTTATTGTCTTTCAAAGTCAGTACGATGTATTTTNTATTTATATATTTATATATTACAGTTACATGATAGCTTTAAAATGAAAATATGCATGCATGTGCTCATATGACTGTTGAGTATGACTTCATATACATATATATATATATATAAAAATTGTTCTCTTCTATAACTATCTGAGCTTAAAATTTTTCAGTACATTATTTGGAATTATAGCGAAGTTTAGAGAGAGAACTTCCAGAATTAAGAATTATAACAAAAAGTGTTATATTTTCAGAAAGATTTCCTTCAAGTATACCGGTACAACTTATTCAGTGAATAAGAATTACTCTTTCTATGTAAAATACATAGAATTTTGATATATTTTAGAAGTAAATTGACAAAAAAGAGCAGATTATTTTTGATTTAAATATTTTGTGAAAGTAATTTTAGATAACTATATACTTGTACTCATATATATAATTATAAAGTATTCTTAGTCAAATTATTTAATTATTTTTTATGAGTACATGTAGTTCTATGATATATATATATATATATATAAAACTAGCTTGAGATTTAAATTTTGGATTAATTAAATTATCAATAATAATCTGCATACCTAGTCATATTGGAAAGTATGAAATATAATGAGGTGAATTGTAATTTCATCTAATAATATTTTTATTTCTATTAATAATTTGTGTAATTTTTTAAAATATCAATTTTACTTTAAGATTTATAATAGAAAAGAATGATATATTTATTGTATGCTTTACGTTTTAACAAATACTCTTATATGTTTATTCATTATTAGTATAGTGTACAAAGTAAACTTTAAATATGTATTAATGTTTTCATAATAAGATATAACACTTTGTTTAATATGTATTATGTTATGCTCAAATACTCAATTAGAATTTTCTGCGAGATAAATTAATATTTTGATTGTTAAAAAAAGAATTTTGGACCATAAAACGCATATACAATCTTTTCTACTACTCTAACTACTAAACAGACTGACTACTTTTTGAGCAAATATTTAAGTGGCATTTAATGGAATGTATTGATTGTACGGAAAATGTGTGATTAGAAATATGGTACATGAAACTGTATATATAAAAAATTAAAAATATGTAAGTAAACAAGTGGTCGTACTCATTACTTAGATTTTAATTTGAATTATGATTCTTTTTTTTTGATATTTTTCTTTCTTTTTATAACTTTTTTTTTTATTTCATAAAATTAATCATTGATTTTAATTTGATAGAATAATTTTTTAAATAAATTATAAAATGAAAATTATTAATAAGAAAACATAATTAGTACAACCACTTTCTCGACCTATTTTTTGGAATACCTACTCAAAGAATTTGTATAACAATGTATAAATTAAATGTACAAAAAATGCTCACAGTGGTTTGACTGGTCATCATATAATTATCATAATAATTACCATACAGTTGTAACACTTTGAATATGTTAGGCAAAGATATTTTAACTTTCTTAAAAAGTCCTAGTTGGTTGTGCAGCAATAAATAAATTAATATTTACGTATAAAATGTTTCCAAATTTGTATTATTCTCTATATATCTATTCTTATAAAATTGAAATACAATTATAAGATTTTCAATTGTTTATTATATATAAAGTCCAAATCATTATATATATAAATAAATTTCCATTAAAAAAATGCTTATTAAAATATCTGAGACATATATCATTTTTATACTCCTAATAATAAAAATAGAGGATTTTCTATATAATATTTCCAAAAATTCGAATACTTTGCCATTGTAACACCATCCACTACTCGATGATCGGCGGCCCAACTAATAGAAATTATATTTGTGGCTACAATGTTTTGTTTATCATCAAATCGTGGTAATTTTTGTATTTTTCCAAATGCGCCGATTACAATTTGCGGAGAAAGAATTACTGGTTTTGTATATGTTCCACCAACCTAAATAGCAGTTAAATTTTAAATATATTATTTTAAATATATTAAATAAAAAAATTAATTTAAATTTTAAATTTTAAATTTAAATTAAAATTAATTTAAAATAACTTTAAAATTTAATTCAATTGTTTAATAATTAATATCACTTGATTTGTTTTGATTCTTTTTAGAAAATATTTTTAAACTTACAACACCGATGTTTGACAGCGTGAATGTTGTATTCGATAAATCGTTTAGTGGAATCGAAGATTTTCTTCCAAGTTTTTGTAGTCGATTCAATTCTTTCGCAATCTCTATGATATTCAAATTTTGAACATCTTTAATATTCGGTACAATTAAACCCTCAGATGTATCCATAGCAATACCAATATTATGGTTCTTCTGAACGCGCAACGCTTGATTTTCTTCATCAAGCCAGCTGTTTAGTTGTGGCACTTTTTCTAATGCTCTAGATGCGGCCTTTATGAAGAATGGCATGAAACTTAATGAAACGCCTTGATCTTTCAGTAAATCTTTCACTTCGTTCCGGTAATCTATCAATTTGTTAATGTTACATTCATCGCTGTATACAAAATGTGGTATATTCTGTAAATAATGCTACACTTTGTCAATTTTGTATATTTTTCGTAATAGATTCATTTAATTATATATTTATTTGAAGTAATGATATTAATACACAGACAAACATATATACTTCATATTTCAACATAAAGATATAGAATTAAGAAATGAAATAATTAAAATAATTATATTTTTTGAAACAACTTTTTTTAAAACTTTAACAACATTTCATCTGTCATTCGGATTAAATACTTGGATTCGATCGATCGCTATCAATTGTATATATGAACGTCATTTTCAGACGATTTCTATTATCGAATTCGTTTTAACTTAAGTTATATTAATTATTAATATTGCAGTTTCGAGACATTCATTATGAGACATATATTATACATTTTGTTATTATCTTAGAAAATTCTTTCTTAATAATAATATATAAATAATTCAATTTAAATATTTTTTATTTAAAAAGTTTTTTATATGCTCAATAAGAAATGAAAAAATAAAATATATATATAAATTAGAGATTTAAAAAAGAGATAAGAAAGAAAAGAGATAAATAATCAAAATGTTTTAAAACTATTCCATTAAAATAAATGATGTAAATATATAATTTTTTAGGAATTTCAGCTTCTGCAAAATATTTTCGCGTAATAGAAAATTCAACTTACCAAGGATTGCGTCATCGTTTTCCACATATGTTTACTATAACCTTTTATCGGTACCACTGTCTCCACTGTTGGTTTTTCTTCAATTCTTTTTCTCATAGAGTTAATAGAAATTTTTTCCAAGTGAGTCAATATATCTTCTTTAAGTACTCGACCACCTTTACCAGTGGAAACAACATCCTTTAAGTTAATGTTCTTCTCCATAGCTATCCTTCTAACTGCAGGAGTGGCTAAGGTTTTTTCTAACCCACATTTTACTATGTGTTTTTCTTCGTCGCTTTCAAAATTTTGTTTACTTTTAGTATTTGTGGTTTGTTGTTGCTGTTCCTGCGGATTCTCAGAGATCGTTGTTCTATTTTGTGCGTTTCCATTATCATCATCTAATTCAATGTCCAGCAATGAATTCCCTATCAGAGCTATATCATCCACCTTGTAGTGCAAGGCTTTAATTAATCCGTCGTAACGGCTGGTAATCGTCACAGATGCTTTGTCACTTTGAACCTCACAAATGTTATCGAATTGAGACACTCGATCGCCTGGTTTCACGTACCTATACATTTGAATATATGGAGCTATATTTTATTTGTCTTTAATACATTTGGAATAAAATGTACTGTTGTCGCACTATTAAAGGATACTTTGAATGTATTTATATATAGGTTATGTATTTTTATTTTTTTTTTAAATGTATTCTCAGAAAAAGATAGTCTGACAGTAAAGAGAAATGATCGATAATTACGAATATTTCGTGAATATAATGATTAACAAAAAATTCATTGTTTTGCTCACCATTCTTTTATCGTGACGTCTCGAATTCCTTCTCCGATATCCGATAGTTTGAAGGGAACGACAGCTCCGTATCGAAAGTAGCTTACGGAGAAAAATCGACATTTTTGATCGCGTACATTTCTAGCCTAAATAAACATTGATTTCTTTATAAATTCATCAGCAATAACTTTGTTCTGAACAGAAGAATCCTTGCTTCTGAACAATTTCGTATATCTATTTTAAATTTATATTAGAAATGAAATAAGAAAATTATATATTTGTATTTACATTCAAGCGCCAAACTTTAAAAAAATACTATCTTATATATTGAATTTGGCCTATTGAATTCGTTATCGATTATTAAAATGCGATCAATTTAATTTCGATTATACAATCGATTAGTGTGATGTTCTGTAGCCATCTTTAGTTTGAATTTTGACTTAAGCAAGTGAATCAGACGTGAATAAAGTGAAGTAAAAATTGAAAAATAATCGAATAGAAACGAATTCGTGATTTAAGGAATGAATTAATAGTAGTGTATTGTTGTTTGAAGATAATTCAAATCAAGATATATAAATTAAATCAGCTGCTTCTGGATAATTTTCTCAGATCCGAAGACGAATACATTAAGCTTAATAATGGGAAGAAAACATCTATACTGGTAAGTAATTACCTATTTACACAATTTATCTTATCTTTTGATGTCTATTAAGCAAAACAAAACATATAGTTAATATAAATCAAATGTTTTGATATTCTAATGTTTTGTTAATATAATTAATAATAAATATTTAAATAAAATTAATTATTTAGATGATTGTATATTATTGTAATAGGAAACATTGACCAATCACATCATATAATTTATAAAAATTATCCAATCAAAACAATTCTTATTTCTTCAAATTTTTCCTATTTTTAAAGACTATATAATTATTCATTATTCATTAATAATAATTCATTATTTAATCAAATACATATTTAATTCGAAATTTGAAATAGAATCAAAATGAATAGAAGTCGAATTGGAAACCTTTCATAATTCTCTATTAATTCCGTTACATATTCTGACACAAAATGTAGACGCTTTTAGCAACTTTGATCAGATGGCTAGGTCGCGTGTTAATTTCATTTATTGCGACACGGTTACGTGTTTATTACTTTAGTAGTTCTCTGATGTATAATTTGCTCAGAGACCACAAAATGGAGTGTATCGTAAGAGGTGACGTTCTCTAGCAGAACATATATTGGCTCTCTAAAGGTTGAACAATCCCAATATAAACGGCATATAACTAGATTGCTAGCCATATCTACGTCATATTGAATAAATGCATCAGATGATATGATAAAGAATATTTGTTGTTTTCCTTGTTTTCTATATATTTTAGTTATTTAATTTAATTTTTGATATTAAGTGTGACATCATTATGTTCTTGTTAGTAATAAAATAATCGTAAATATTAAATTTATTCTCATCTTTATGCTTAAATCAATCATTTTTATATTTGATATTTTAGAATTTTATTCAAATTGAAATATTTTCTAATTCATATATAAATAATTTTTTTTTATTTTTATATGATATATATATTTCAATTTAAACAACATTTCAAATATTGAATATCAAATATTGAATTGATTCGATTTGTCATGGAATCGTTTTGTTCGTTAAACGCGCACTCGAAAATTACCGAGCATAGCCGAAATTACACGATGATAATATTTATAATGATTTGTCAATTCATATCAAGATATATCATTATTCAATATTCTCTTACCAAAAATGTTAAAAACGTGAACTTCTTGGTTATTCCCATCGCAGAAAAATTTCACCAGTTCCAAATATAATCAAGATTTTCTTTTGAAATATATCGCAGCTAATAGAGAAGTGAAAGATTGTCCATAATTATAAAGATATAAGAGTATGGTTCTTTCGAGCAAGCTTGTTATTATCATTGCGTCAGTATTATCAAAATAATATATGTTTACGTACTTGGAAGAGAAATTACGCAACTTCTGTATCAGTGGCACTGGTAAAGAATAAAATTATTTTGTACTTAATGAACGATTATATTCCGTTATATTCCTTTGATGCACAAACGTTAATTTCAACGAGTTCTTTCGTGGTTTTGTTCGTCATTGATAATATTTATGATCGTTGTTAATCGATTGAAGTTTTGACATTATTTAAATTTAAATGCACATTGGATCTGCATAATAATGAAATAACTGTGATAACGATTATTTATTTAAATATTATTATTTTCAAATATAATTGTTTCATTGCTTTTTCGTTTTCTTCTAATCAGACACTTTTATACAGAATCGAATATCACAATATTGTCCTTCTTTTTCAATGATTTCCTTGGATATTTTCGATTGTTTAAAAAATTTATATGCAATACAAGTTATGAATATTCTTACACAGGTCATTAAATATTAAGATGCATTTGAATGTAAAAATATTTTTTCATGATAATGATGTGTAAGTGTATTAAAGTGTACAAGAGTATGACTTATGTGACAGTTTATATTAAAAAAAATTAAATAAATTTGATTCTTTCTGATTATGAAAATGACGAATCAAATTCGATTGTTTATTAGCATTTAAAAATATACATTTAAAAATATACATTTAAAAATATAAGAAATATACAAATACAGGTTAAATCGCGACGCGATTTATGGATATGATTGCTATTTATTATTAAATTATAATTTTTAAGATTTTATATAATTTTAATGTATATCATTAATGTGTTTTTATTGAGAAATACGGAACAATTGCTAATACTTCAAGTGTCATCTCGAAAAATATTTAAACCAATAGCTAATCGATATTAAAGCACAACATAAAAACATTAAAAATCAACGAAACTGTAAATATAAATGTAATCGGTCATCTAGGATTCAAAGTTGAAAGCACAGCTGGACAATTTGATTCTTGTTGACTGCTAATTTATCTGTCACTAAAATCAGGTTACAGTCCCATAAGTCAGTGTAGCAAATGTGACACTTACGTCATCGGATTTACGTGCCTGTATGAATTTTCTAATTATATTAA